GTGTTTATTGTCCACACTTCCGTAGGTTAGCAGGAGAGCGAAACGTCGATGGATTTGTCCGATCCGTTATGCATGTACAGGGTGAATCACAGGTTTTCGAGGAAGCTTGATAAAATATACGGCGAAGTGAAAACAAAAGTTTGATTAGGTCTACCGGGAAGTTCTGTCCGATAATGTTATCTCAAGATTCTGAGGATGAGTCATTCTACAGAAGTGAAATTGCCAAATTATTATCATGCTGGGAAGAGATAATTAGTAACGATGGAGATTACATTGTTCCGTGTTATTCTATTGTTCTTTTTTTTCAATTAAAGAAACAACGTTTTTCCGGTAGACTTAATGTATAAGAAAAGATAATGAAAGTAATGTAACAGTGATGTAGTTGAAAATAAGATCAAATATATAGGAAACAATCTATTGTATTGCTGGAAAGTTATCTGCGAATGTACAGGATGTTTCCTCGGAAATCTTCTGTTTTGAAGATTTCCGAGGAAAGTTTGCTACAGAGTTCTACAGCTAAGAATAAAACGAAAATTTTATGAGGAAAGACCGTAGTGGTAACATAATAATGAGTAGTTTATTGAAAAGTAATTTGCTATGATATAGTAATTTTTTACGGTTCGTGTCATAGGTTGCTGTAGAAAGTTCGCCAAAGTATTCTACAGATAGAAATAAATAAAAAATTGTATATACGTTGACTTTACGTGGACGGATTCGAAGTGAAACACTGTATAGATTTAATAAAAGAAAGTCCTTATGTAGTTCAGAATGAATTTTATTCGCGTTGAAATTACGCTCACATTTGTAGATCATAAAAGTGCATTTACGACGCGCGTAAAACAACAATTCAATGGATCTGCGACGGTGTGAATTGAATAAAAATCGCCAAGGACATGAAACCCGACTTCTCAGGAAATGAAAAACTGTCCTCCGTGGATGAAAAAGAAAGTAAGGACGGTATATCTTAACGTGCGTCGTGGGTGTAGATTTATTGCGTTCGCGGCACTCGAGAAATTAGACTGACGCCATTCTTGGGTCGATTTTCGAATCGGTTCATTTGATCCTTAATTTTCGTTGCAGATTTCGAACTGCCGCAATTGAATCGATTACACGAAAAAGTTCATTTTATCCTTCGAATATCTCATCAAATATTCAAAATCTCTAAAGATCCTAATTTTTCGATTATTACAGACTTCACATTTTACAATGGAATAATTTGCAATTATTCAATAATATTTGTAAATGCTTGAATAAAAGATTCGTTTACTCATGACGAGAGGTTTCTATAATTTCCAAACAACACGTCCAAACAATTCTATCAACAAAACGTTAATACATCAAGCATCGACACTTTAATAGTTTCAAGATTACTTTATCTAAAACTCCTGCTTGTCTCTACAAATAAAATTCTATCTACAGTCTAATATAATAATAAACTTCAATTGCATTACAGAACAAGAAAAAGAGAGATGCCGCTCACAGCAAAGTGCAAAGTACACACGGAGGCGAAACGCGAAGCACGACGTTGGTAGCGATTACCGGTCCATCCCATATTATTCGAGGCACCGCGGGGTTGCAGTTTATTAACGCCCGGTGTATTTGAGAATTTCGCGGGACAGTGTTTGAAAGTGGCAACGGCGAACGATGCAGACGGGAGGATTAGTATCGACAGGGGTAAGGTGAAACGTGGAAGGGCCAGCAAGGAAAGGGTGCCCGGTGGTGGTCGTGTTAAGAGCGCGCGGCTGCAAAGAGAGAGGGATGAAGCAGACGAACGGACTGACGGACGGCGGATCCTCGACAAATGGATTAAGCGCAAATTGCTAAACTCTGTTTAATTTGGCCAAATGAATTTTGTTCCGCCAGCCCTCTCTCGTTCGCCCTCTGCCACCCCCGCGCCACT